AAGTGAAAACTTCTTTAGAATCGTTGTGATTTCAAACCGGATGCAACGGAAAAAACGACAGGTAAGAGACACAAATACAAAAATGTGTAGGATGAAGCCAGCAAAGAATGAGACAGAAATATACATACTATTTAATACAGCGCCATCTGTGAGATTTTTTAATACTAACGTGTGTATGAAAGCTCTTGTTAATTTAGGATTATACGTGAAATTAAAATATCAATTCACAGAGGGCGCTACCTTACAATTATTTACTAATGACAAAATTTTACATATACTTAAGACGTTTAGGATAATTGTATTTTAATTTTGGAAGGTTTCACTTCTACCACGTGTGAATTGCACACATTTTGTTTTTTTTTTATTATCTCGCGCCCTACCAAAATGTCACTGCGTAAATAATCGTCAGACAAAACGTGAAATATAAGATCTCAGCCCTGAAATCGCTGATTCGCACTATACATGGTAATTACAATTTACTATGCACGTTTTTATTGCCGATACAATACAATTTGAATTACGATAATATCACTTTCTTGTCATCGGACTGCATTTGTTGAGTCGGCGTTTTGAAAAGCAATTTCTATGGTTCCTTATTGTGGCCTAAAGGATAAGACGTCCGGTGCATTCATGTCGACCAATGTACCGGTGTTCGAATCCCAGGCGGGTACCAATTTTTCTAATGAAATACGTGCTCAAGAAATGTTCACGTTTGACTTCCATTGTAAATTGACTTCCACGGTGAAGGAATAACATCTATATATATAAATGAATTGCTGTTCGTTAGTCTCGCTAAAACTCGAGAACGGCTGGACCGATTTGGCTAATTTTGGTCTTAAATTATTTGGGGAAGTCCAGAGAAGGTTTAAAAGAATTAGATAAATATGAAAATGCTCGGAATTAAATTAAAATAACAATTTTGTGTTTCCTTTGATGTGTCCCCCGTCGGACGGATTCCCTTGGTTTGTTTTAAGTTTATTTTATACAAAAGTTTAGGTCTTTTATTTAGCGATTGAGGCACTACGAACTCTGCCGGGTCATTATCATCATCATCATCATTAACAGCTCACAGTCGTCCACTGCTGGACATAGGCCTCTCCCAATCCAGGGTCAGCTAATATAATAATATTTATAAGATCATACTTATTTGTGAGATGGATGATAAGAAAATATTGTAACTATACTGACACCTTAGAACTCATATCTCAAGGTGGGTGGCTGTATTTAAGTTGTTGTAGTCTATGGGCTCCGGCAACCACTTAACACCAGGTGGGCTGTGAGCTCGTCCATCCATATGTGCAATAAATAAATAAAAAATATTGACAGCTATTCGTCTTGTTAATTGGATAAAACCGATTTTGTAAATACGTTTGGGTTTTACCATAATTTCGTCGCAAAGTAATCCTGGGTTCTGTCTTGTAGCAGCGCCACTGTCGGATCAAAGCAATCGAGACTTTAATCCGACGTTTTAGAGTCGGAAATGGCGTTCGCGTCGTCGCCTCTACAAGCTCCGATAACAATGCAGGTTACAATGTAAGTTAATCTAATATGCACAATGCAAAAATCAAAATTATCTCACGATACCAATTGACATATGACTTTGTGGCACATCGTGTTTTATCGATCATTATTTGCAGTTTTTACCTGAATAAAGATCGATAGTTAGTGGCAATGTCAAATGACGGTTATCATTTTAGAAGGCTTACATTGAGATACGAGCATGAACCTAGTTTCAGAAGGTGAATCATGCAGCATCTTCTTTGTGGTGACCGCTTGACACGTAAAGATATCATCAACTTTTTTTTATTTTTTTTATTGCTTAGATGGTGGACGAGCTCACAGCCCACCTAGTGTTATGTGGTTACTGGAGCCCATAGACATCCACAACGTAAA